GAATATATATATATATATATATATATATATATATATATATATACATTTTCAATTTGTAATTTTGTACAGTGATGCAAAAAGTGTGAAAATAAAATAAAAGTGCCCCTATTATGGATTTTTGAAAATGACCTTTCATGCAGTGTGTAACAAAGCTCTAAGTGAATGAAAACATCCTGCAAAGTTTTAAATTTGAAAGTTCACCGTGTATAAAGTTATTGTCTTTCAAAAGAAAGAGTTGACTCTGAATCACTGAAACGAGTCGTAAGCCGTTTCATGTTGATGTCAACATGAAACATTAGGATATTGCCCGCCCACTTGTTGGTCTTTTCATGTTGGTCTGAATGAAAATGCAAATTCATTCTTTGCCACTAGGTGCAGCTTTTGGAGCGATAAAAATAGCGGTTTCCCCGGCAAAAGCATTGCTTGTTTTTCATGTCCGCGGGTTGAAGTGACCCCAATAACGTGATATTTAGCCCTTGGGATACGAATTTTACTGAAGGATCCCCGCCAAAAAACGTGTATTTTATCACCCGGAATGCGATTTTTTACCGGGAAACCCCCCTCGAAACACGATTGGGCTAGTTTTGGGCTAATTTTGAGTAGCAATTGGGTGGGTTTTGTTGCAAAAACCTGGCAACCCTGCCCGGTAACGCTGTACACAAAGCAGCACTGCGCCCACAAACGCTGCTTTATCAGGCATTACATGCCTAAAATGAGACCAATCGGACCAATCACCGCAGATTAGCATCACGCAAAGGAGGGGTTTGGAAAAATTAATCGTTGAGCGAATCATTTGGGAGTCACTGAGCAAGTAAAGTAAAAATAAATGCATGCATATTATAAGACAATGAAAGTGTTTTTTGACCTTGCGTGCATGTCATCCTGTTGTTGGGGACACCCAAAACCAAAATATGAACCTTTCATTACCTATAATAGGGGCATTTTAATTGTGTGTATTTAGGATACATAAAATGCTACCAATGAAATTAGCTTTAGGAAGACAAAGGAGTCAATATATTCCAAAAATGCTTAAAATGTCACTTCCACCACATTCTAAAAGTGTTTGAATTGTCATTTTAAAACACTGTAGCGAAATATCTTCCAGAAAATGACAGAATTCTTCTGTGATGTACGTCCACTGTTTCAATTGCATTTTCTGTAAGTCCACAAGCTCAAAAGCACCCACGGGTGAAGAAACACCCATTGGTTGCTGAGGCATTTGTTCAGCTCTTATGATGCTAGACCAAATGGCTTTGCTGCCCCTTGGTTTGACCTGAGTTTGAATTAACATTCCCGACTCATACCTCACATTCATAAAACATGTAATTGGATCTGGGGCATGACTGATTTGGGCGCATCAGTTTGTCCTTTCCTATCGAGAGGTCAGAACAATTTTGCTGTTCACTCATATGGGCATATTTATCTGTTTGCGAGTCTGGGAGCATCGGCAGAATGAGACTCCCCTTTCGAAGGCTAGATGAGGTAAGAAGGTATTTATTGATGGTGACACCAGTATGTGCACTCACGTTCTCTATTTTAATACACACAAACAAAAAACATAGCTAGAGGAATACCTTTTACATATGAATGTAATAAAAACAATCATGGTGAGCATCATAAACTATTAAAGAGTTAATGCAATTAGCTCTAAAGGTTTGTGTGTGGTTTCCATGACTAACTGAATTGGCTTGTAGACAGTCTTAGTCGGTCTGGCTGAAATAGTGCTGTATTGATTGAGTTTTTCTTGTTCTAACTGTTCACCATTGTCAGCTACAAATATTTTAAAACCTCAACTGGGCAGAGTTAAATTACTTATTGAAGCTTATTGAGAAAAACATTCTGTTTCAAAGCCTTTCCAATATTATTATGCTTAATTTACACCAAATATACAAAAACATTTAGTGTCCTCGACATCCATCAAATACTGATGTAGCTGAACTGCTGAAAACAAAACAAAACAAAAAAAAAAACCTTAAGACAACCAACCTTAAATATACTGAAAGCACCATCAGGGTTATTTTAAATAAAAAGCCTGCCTTTGAACGATCAAAGCATTTACTGGGAGAAAAGAAAAGATATGACAAATTTGCTTGGTTTTTGAGTCTGATTTACAAATCCTAAAGACTGACATTTCGAACTTCTAATTAAAAGACGCATTGCAGCATTAGTTTTGCCTGACTGCGTTTATTAAAGGATAATTAGGGCGCTTCTTATCTGCACTTCTGCACAATGCCTATGTGTTTGGTAAGACAAGTTTATTAAGAGCACTGAAATTGCAGGTTGTGTTTAGATGTGTGCATACATTTTTGACAAATACACCATGACAAATTTTTTGACCTGGCCAAAAAGAAAGGAGAGGGCACTTTAAATGTCATAATCCTTAAAAGGGTAGTATAGCGTTGTGTCAGCTTGATCAAGGGCTTACTTAACCGACACTATTCACAATGGCACAATTTCCAATGCACTGCAAGAGTGCTGACGTGAGCTGCGATTTACGTGGTGTCGTGAAGGTTCACTTCAAAAGAACCACAAATTTGAAGTCCAATTTGAGGTCATGGAAAAGCAATCTTAGAACAAAAGATGTATGCTGCTGGAGGTATGGACGCTTTGATACAAAACAGCACAAGCCACTCAAAATGAGGCTGAAATAATAACATATGTCTGACCCTGCAGCTCTGACTGATTTTCAGAACACTTGATTTGAGTTTGAAATGTACACGTAGTAGATTTGCCCTTCAAATATTCAGATGTTTTTCCTCCACATTCAAGGCCTGATGTGTGCTGCCTGGCTCCCTATTGTCTACAAAGGGAGCATCTTCATTGACAGGGAACATTATAAGTATTTTGGTCCAGAACTCTCTACATAAGTCTATGTTTACCACACAAGCGATCCCCATGGACTTATTATTACAATTAATTGCAGTAAAGTGTGGCATTAGCATGCTACTAAACTAACAACAAAATATTCTGCATGGGATTGACTCATTGATTTCAGTAATGTAACAGCATGTAGCTAAACTAGCAACTACATATTGTGTACATAACTGACAAACAATTAATTTCAACAGTGTAACATTAAAGGGGTCAT